AAAAAAAAAAAAAAAGACAAGAAGGTCAACAGGCGCCCCAGTGATGCTAGGGCAGGGCAAGCCTCCCTCTCAACCCAGGATGAGCCCGGTATGCCCCCGTTCTCTTTCCCACTCTTACTGATCTCCTATAATTTTCCCTTCTCGTATTAATCCTTGTTCGTCATCACACTTTTGTGTAACTAACTGATTACTGTCTCTCTCTCCTAAAGCCTCTAGACTCCATGAGGATGGAAAACGCGCCTGTCTTGCTTGTGGGTTTAATACTGTGGACCCAGCATGAGACACAGAGACTACCACACAGACACCCAACTGTTCTGAGTGAGTGAGCAAAGACTAAAGAATTTAAAAATCCATTAGGAGCAGCACACACACAATCCTAATAACTGCAAAATAACAGATGCTATTCTAAGAACAAAACAAGAGTTCAAACAAAAATACTGGTTTAAATGAAGTAAAAAAGTAGAATCACATTAAATACAGACCTTCTCACATAATGATGGATACTAAATTATGTGCAGTAGCTGCATGTCATTTAACCAGGGTCATTAGGGAATGAGGTATTACATATTAGACATAAACAGATTTTCCAGGTCAAAACATTTATCCTTTAAAAAAATTACAGTTGGGCGGTGCCCATAACTCAGTCGGCAGGGCGCCGGTCACATACACCTAGGGTGGCAGGTTCAAACCTGCCCGGGCCTGCTAAACAACGACAACTGCACCAAAAAAATAGCGGGGCGTTATGGCGGGTGCTTGTAGTCCCAGCTACTTGGGAAGCTGAGGCAAGAGAACCACTTTAGCCCAAAAGTTTGAGGCACTATGAACTGTGATGCCACGGTACTCTACCCAGGGCAACAGCTTGAAACTCTATCTCAAAAAAAAAGACAGTTGAATATAACTTTATGAGAATCATCATTCTAAAAAGCAATGTGATGTGCACGTTATATTTAAGATTCTGAATCACGACTAGGATAAAAGGTGATTAAAACGTCACTAGCATAATATACAAATTAACACTAACAAACTCTGAACCCTTGGTCCTGAGGATACATGAGTTTTACATCACAATTTTCAGAACTGTAATTCCAAAGACTCAGAAGAGTTTTCTATTTACTTTCTGGAGTCACAGTTACATTTCAGACAGTTCACACAGGGTGTGTCTAGACAATGAGGGAAAAAATAATGTAAATGTATATAAATAACTGTAACACAAGTAAGAAAGATGAGGTCAATTTTATTACCTAGAAACATGACAAATGAAAGTCTTGACCAGTTACAGTATTCTCATCCAGAAACTATTAGTTGTCTACCCAGTCTCCAGAAGGACAGGATTTGGCTTGCAGTGGCAACAAGCTCAGGTAAAAATCCCACATTGTTCAACCACACTTGTGGGAATTACCCTCAACCCCGTCCCTTCCCTGCTGTGGCTACGCCTCCCAGGAAAGCTCCATCAGAGGCCTAATTCAACTGGTCTGAACCCTTCTTCCCTCTTCTGGCCAATAAGCAGACACAGTGAGGAAGCTGAGTCAGCACAGCTGGTGGGAGGTCATCAGCACACAGGGAGGGGAGGCCGGAAAAGCAGGAGGAGCTGGAGTCGTGGAGGGCACCACTTCAGCCTGGGGAATAGCTGAGCCTCCAGCTTATTATTATGGAGAAAAATCTAAGTCTAAACCGCTGTTTTGAGAGCTGTCACATCCAGTCCAAAGCAATCCTAATTGATAGACTTTTTGTAGCTACACTATCCAAAAAGATCATGGTTTTCAGTAAAGACTGCCATAAAGTGTTATTAGATCCCAAAGATACACAGGTAAGTCACCTGATTTAAGTTGGACCTTCAACAAAAACTACCTTCAGATTCTCCTGGTTCTTGCTCAACCAAGTACAGATATAGAAATAATATGTCATGTCCAGACAACTTTATGCTTCCACTTAAAAATGAAATCTGTAAGAGTCCTTTCCAAACCTAACCACACACATTCCAGCAAATCCGATACCCATCTCTTTCCAAAACACATAGGATTTCAGAACCCATATAACCCGGGTCTACTACTAACAATGACCTCAAGCCAAACACCCAAAACAGAACACTGTGTACACCCCAACTGAAGTTCCACAACAGGTACCACAATCTCAGCTTCCCAGAAGACGTCAGTGCAAAAACTACCAGTCAAGCATCTTTTTGCTCTTCCCAACTTTTAGGTTCCCATTTCTACTTATTTAGGTGGATTACATAACTAAATAACCATTACCTTTAAAGCAGTCACCTTTGGAGGGCACATGCTTCTTCCAATAATGGTAGAGAAATTAAAACTTTTTGAAATTTCCTATTAAAATCTACTTATAAATACATAACAAAACCTACAACTTAAAGTTCCAGTTTATTTATTTTTGAGACAGAGTCTCACTCTGTCACCCTTGGTAGAGTGCCCTGGCATCACAGCTCACAGCAACCTCAAACTCCTGGGCTTAAGCAATTCTTTTGCCTCAGCCTCCCAAATACCTGGGACTACAGGCACCTGAAACAACACTCAGCTAATTTTAGAGATGAGGTCTCGCTCTGGCTCAGGCTGGTCTTGAACCTTTGAGCTCAGGCAATCTACCCTCCTCAGCCTCCCAGATGCTGGGATTACAGTCATGAACCACCATGCCCAGATTCTCCAGTTTCTTAAACAGGAGAGAAATGTCCAGCCTCAACTTTACCCATTTGTACCAAGGACAGCAAAGAAAATGAGTTTTTCTTATTTTCAAAAATAAAAAAACTTTTGCTACTAATTTAAGAAGGGCAAAGATTTGCCATCACTAAGAATATACACAGGCCAAGAGATTTTCAAGGGCAGGGAACCTGTGGCCTTCTTAAGACTTCTGGCCTTTTGACTGAATCCAAATTTCACAGAACAAATCCTTTTAATAAATAAATTAAATAAAACTAGATTCAAGTTGACAAATGCAGTAGAAAGAAAAGAAAGAAACTAGAGTTTACTGATTGTGACCAATTATGCGCTAAGCACATTATCAGGCAATTTTACACACATTATTTTGTTTGTTTTGTTTTGAGACAGAGTCTCACTCTGTTGCCCTGGGTAGAGTGCCAGTGGCATCATAGCTCACAGCAACCTCAAACTCTAGGGTTTCAGTGATTCTCTTGCCTCAGTCTACTGAATACCTGAGAACTATAGGCACCCACCATACACCTGGCTATTTTTTTAAGAGACAGGGTCTGGCTCTTGCTCAGGCTAGTCTTCAACTCCAGAGCTCAAACAATCCACCCGCCTAGGCCTCCCAGGGCAGTAGGATTACAGGTGTGAGGCACCACGCCAGGCCTTACCTACATTATTTTATTTAACTGATCTAATATTTAGAATCCTTTTTTAAAACTGATAATAAAGTTACATCAATACTTTACTATTAAAAAGAAGAAGGGAAAAATCCAAATGACTTTTTATAATTCTATATTTTATCAGAACTTAATTCTATAAAAATTAAATGTTATCCCCAACCTTCAAACTGAGCTATAACTGAACAATCTCAAATGATTCCAAATTATTTTAATACTCCAATTTAAAAAGGATACAATGTTAAACTAGATATAATGATAATTAATATCCATTAAATATGTCTCATGCATGATCCTAAATTAAGCTCTATGTCAAATATGCTTCACCCCATCTGGCAATAAGATTAATATAATTTTATGCTTATTGGTGCGTGATGTTTTTCCTTCCTCAGTACTCCCTAAGAAAACGTCTATGAAGTAAAACAATACTTTCAAACTATCATAGTGTTATTCCAAATCTGTTAATAAATGCTAATAAAAATGACTACTTCTATAATTCTAACAATCTCCATTTATAAATTTTCTATCTTATCTATTTATAATAATTTTTGACTATTCATAATCATAAAAGGCTGCAATGATGTTGTTAACTAGCCAGAAATTATTTTGTTCAATATAAAAACACGAGAAAGAAGGCCTCATCATTAAGGGAAACTTTCTTTTGACAACTCAAAGAAAGGCAGTGGAGCTTAAACAGAGGATAGCCTGCTTAAAGTCAAATAGAGGAGAGGTTAAATGTGGGTTCTATTAGATGTATCTTGGACAGATAGCTGAGGATTTATGTCATCTACCCATAAATCAAGATAAGTATATTCTTTATATAGTTGTTATATAAATACATTAAAATGCATACATAATATTTGCATAAGTATCCAATAAAAACATTAGTCATCATAATAATATTACAATAACCTTTTAGATAAAGAGTTCATTAACTGAGTTAATATTTAACAGAATTAGGTACCCAATGTCCAAAAAATGTAGTAATAAAATGACTGCCATTTCAGCAGTTTTCAACACATCTGTGATATTCACACATCCATGGTTATAACAGGATTATTCACAATAGCCCAGGGACAGTGCAACCTAAATTTCCATCCAGAGATGAGTGGGTAACAAAATGTGCTGCACAGACAACAGACTCGTGTTCAGGCTTAAAAGGGAAGGAACTCCTGTCACAACATGAGTGAACACAAGGACGTGACGTTAAGTGAAATAAGCCAGTCACAAAAGACAGTTAGTATATATGGGAGTCCGTTTGTATGATTGTCCTGAATAGTTAAGCTGGCAGAAAGAGAAAGTAGAACGTTGGAGAAAGGGGAAAGGGAGAGTCATTTAATGGATATAAAGTTTGGATTTTACAAGATGAAAAACTTCTGGAAATCTGTTACATGACAAAGTGGAAGTATTTAACACTCCTGAATTGTATCCTTAAAAATGGTTAGGACAATAAATTTTATGTTATATGTTCTTTACCATAATAACTTACAAATTTTTTTATATGTCTACACACAGATACACATATCACATGTGTAAAATAGAAACTGCTCCTTGGCTCGGCTCCTGTGGCTCAAGTGGCTAAGGTGCCAGCCACATACACCTAAGGTGGCGGGTTCGAATCCAGCCCGGGCCTGCCAAAACAACAAGGATGGCTGCAACCGAAAAGTAGCC